CATTCATGGTCAAGACGATATAAAGAAAGACATGGATGACTTCTTAGAATTCAATGACAATGAGGACACAACATACACGAACATATGTTAAACATTGAAAAGATTTCTACGAAGGATGGAAGTTCATTTCATAAGAGCCCATATGAAGAAAACTGAGGATAGTCACATTACAGAATTAATAGCACAGCTAACAGACTTAGAACAAAAAGAAACACACTCACCCCAGAGTAGATGACAGCAAATAATCAATTCGAGAGAACAAATCAATAGAGACAAGAAAATGATACGAAACATCAATGCAACAAAGAGTTGTTTTTTTTTTTTTTTTTTTTTTTTTTTTTTAAAGAAACTCAACCAGATAGACAAACTTTTATCCAAATTAACCCGAAAAACACAGGGAGAACACACAAATTAACAAAGTCAGAAACAAAAAGGTGGACATAATAACAGACCCTGAGGAAGTCAAGACAATTTTCAGGTTGTACTTTAAAAACCTGTAAAACCTGTACTCCACAAAATTTGAAAATTCATTGGAAATGGAGAAATTTCTGGATAATTATCACTTACCAAAAGGAAATCAAGAACAGATAAGCAACTTAAACTGACCTATACCGTCAGTGAAATATACCATCAGTGAAATTTAGGCAGTCAACGAAAGCCTCCCAACAAAATAAGACCGAGGGCCTATTGGCAGTTGTGCAGAATTCTACCAGCAAATCAAAAAGGAACTAATACCAATACTCCTCAAATTGTTTCACACAATAGAGACAAAATGTTCATTACCAAACATTTTTTTTCAAGGCCACAATTACCTTGGTACCATAGATACACAAAGACACAACTAAGACAGAGAAGGATAGACCAATATCCCTCATGAACATAGATGCAAAAATACTCAATAAAATACTGGCAAATCAAATCCAAGAACACATCAGAAAAATTATCCAACATGACCAACTAGGCTTTATCCCTGTGTTGCAGGGATAGGTGAACATACAAAAGTTGATTGATGTAATCCACCATATAAACAAACTGAAAAAAAAAACAGCGTTTACTGAAAAAGCCTTTTCCACATTCCAATACCCTTACATGATAAAGGGCTTGGAGAGATCAAGGATAACAGGAACATACCTAAACATGATAAAAGCATATATATTAAATCAACAGCCAACATCAAACTGAATGGATAGAACCTTAATGCAATTCCTGTAAAACCAGGAACAAGGCTACCCTCTCCATATTGCTTCAATATTGTACTTGAAGTTCTAGCTAAAGGAATAAGACAAAAAGTGAGATCAAGGGGATACAAATTGGAAAGGAATAAGCCAAACTTTCACTATGTGAAAATATATGACAGCATACATAAGCGACCCAAAAGTTTCTATCAGGGAACTCCTACAGCTAATAAACACCTTCAGCAAACTACCACTATACAAGATAAACTCAAAAAAAAAAATCTGTTGCCTTACTATATACAGAGGACAATGGGACTGACATAGAAAACAGAGAAACATCACCCTTTACCATAGCCATATTCAACATAAAGTATCTTGGGGTAATGCTTAACTAACAAGTGAAAGACCTATATATCAAGTACTGTTTATTTAAACCAAGAAATTTTAGAAGATACCACAAAATGGATAGATCTCCCATGCTCTTGGATAGGTAGGATAAGCATAGTACAAATGGAAATCTTACTCAAAGCAATCTACAGATTGAATGCAATCCCCATCAATATCTGCACAATCCTTCACCGACCATGAAAGGATAATAATCAAATTTATATAGAAAAACAAAACACCCAGGATAGCCAAACCACCCTGTACAACAAAGGAACTTTAGGAGGCATCACCATCCCTGACTTTAATCCCTGACTAGAGCTATATTCTTGGAAACAGCCTAGTATTGGCAGAAAAATATACAAGTAGATCAAAGTAATCAAATCAAAAATCCTGATATTAACCCACACACCTATGAACACATGTTTTTTGACAAAAAAGCTAAAAGAATACAATGGGAGCAGGAAAGCATCTTCAACAAATGGTGCTGGAACAACTGGATGATAGTGTGTAGAAGAATGCAGATAGACCCATATCTATAGCCTTGCACAAAATTCAAATCCATATGGATCAAGGACATCAACATAAATACAGCCACACTGAATATCTTCGAACAGAAAGTGGTAGGTACCCTTGAAGAAACTGGTACAGTAGATTCATTCCTGAACATAACTCCGGTAGCACAGACCCTGAGATCAACAATTAATAAATGGGAGTTCCTCAAGCTGAGAAGCTTCTGTAAGGCAAAGGACACAGTTGACAAGACCAAAAGGCAGCCCACACTGTGGGGAAAGATCTTCACCAACCTTACATCTGACATAGGGCTCATCTCCAAAATATACAAATACCTCAAGAAACTAGTCACCCTAACACCAAATAACTCTATTAAAAATGGAGTATAGAACTGAAGAGAGAATTCTCAATAGAGGAAATAAAAAAGCCTGCAAGACACTTAAGTAAGTGTTCCACATCCTTAGCTATTAGTGACATGCAAATCAAAACACCTCTGAGATACCATCTTTCTCCTGCAAGAATTGCTAAAATCAGGAACACTAATGAGAACTTATGCTGTAGAGGATGTGGAGAAAGGGGAATACTCCTACATTGCTGTTGGGATTGCAAACTTGTACAGCCATTTTGGAGATCTTCATCGTGGTTCCTCAGTAAAATGGGAATTGATCTACCACAGGACCTGGTAATCTTATTCTTATTCATATACCCAAATGATCCACAGCCATGCAACAAAAAATGTGTTTAACTATGTTTATAGCAGCATTATTTGTAATAGCAAGAACCTGGAAGCATCCTAGATGCTCCTCCAATGAAGAATGGATGAAGTAGATGTCGGACATTTACACAATGGAATCCTGCTCTGTGGAAAAAAATAACAATGGAATCTTGAAAATCACAGGCAAATGGATGAAACTTGAAGGAAACCTCCTGAATGAGGTAACCTAGTCAACAAAATAAGAACATGGTATGTATTCACTGATATATATATATATATATATATATATATATATATATATATATATTCGACATAGACCAAAGGATCGCTAGCCTATATTTCATAATGCCAGAGAAACTAGAATACAAAGAGGATTCTAAGAGATTCATACAAGTTCCCTCATAGAAGGGGAAAAGAACTAGATCTTCTTAGCGTATTGGGAGCATGGGGGATGGGAGTGGAGAGCAGGCCAGAAAAAAGGGTAGGGGAGGAAAGAAAATCACATGGGACTAGGAAGATTTAGCCTGGGGAGGGTAAGACAAGATAAAAGAAAGAAAGAGAGTGAGACAGCATGAGAGAGAGAGAGAGAGAGAGAGAGAGAGAGAGAGCATAAATGAAACATTTATTTGAAGTGGCTCACTTATAGTTTCAGAGATTCAGTCCATTTTCATCATGGCATATAAAATGCTGGCGTACAGGTAGTTGTGGGTCTGGAGAAAGAGCTGAGAATCCTACATTCTGTAGGCAATAGGAAGTCTACTGAAATTCTGGGTGGTATTATGAGCATAGGAAACCTTTAACCTTGCCACACAGTGTCACCCTCCCTCCAAATGACCATACCCACCCCAAATCCAAGAAAGACAACCTTCCTATCATTGGCACTCCCTTTGAAAGTATGTGGGCCAGCTACATTTAAACTGTCACTCACTAGCACTAGAAGTTTATAATAATATCATTGCAAAATTCATTTTGTCAACTCTAGAAACCCCCAAAGTCTAGCACAGTGTCTCAACAATGTTAGAAAGTTCAATGTTGCTTCTGAGAATCCTTCAATCTCTTAATTGTAATCACCCATGAAAATCAAAATCAAAAAGCAGATCATATACTTCAAACATATAATTGCACAGGGTATACATCAACATTCCAAATAAAGAGAAGAGTGAGGAAATACTGGGCCAAGGAAGACCAAGAAACGAATGGGCAAACTCCAAACTTTCCATCTCCATGTGATGTCAAAATCCTCTTAGATCTCCAACTCTATTCAGCTTTGTTGACTGCAAGCCACTTCTTTCTATTGGGCTTGATGCACTCCCTGTTAGCAGCTCTCCTTGGCAGATATTCCATGACTATGTCATCTCTACCATCACGTTTCTGTGTATCACTTGCATGACTGATGCTGGAAAAGGTCAGAACAAGGCATCAGATCCCCTAGAAGTGCAGTTACAGATGGCTGTGAGCTGCTATGTAGTTGCTGGGAATTAAGCACAGGTCCTATGGAAGAGCCAACTGGACCCTTAACATTGAACCCATCTCTCTAGTCCTTTCTTGTGAAAAATTTTAAGCATGCCAACTAATGTATGTATTGAAGGTTAGATTTGTTCCTTGGTAAGGGTTTCCTATATCTGGCCATAATAAAAATTTACTCTCTTTCAAAGCTATCATCTCATTGTTCTTAATCCATTTACATATAACCTGTTTTGCTGTAAGGGCTATTATGCAGGCAAATGTCAATGGATTTGTTAAAGCCTACCAGTAAAATAATTTGGGTAATTCTTAATTAGTTATGTGATTTAATCATTTCATATTCAGTAGATTGTATTTGTCAGGACCTCTTCAATTATCACTCACTACACACAGAACCTGGGAAAGATGTGTGTCTACTCTAGGTATTAAATGAAATAATATTAAGAAAGAAAAAATTCAGAAATTTAAATATTCATGTGTATTTCTTGAGTTACCTATAAGTGTACTTTTCTCAAAAAGTATATGATGTGAACTTAGGGAAAGTTTGGTACATGTAGAAAACAGGTAGTGGATGCTGCATCCTGAGTTGCCTGAAAGGGCAAGTTTGCCTAAGAGCCAGCTGGAAAGGTCAGCAGCACATTGGAAAAAGTTGTCAGTTCTGGTGAAATTTCCATAGATGTCAGGCTATTTTGGGGATCCTAAAGTGGAATACTATTGTATTCCTGTTGATTTCTTCCCTGTCCTTGCAGGAGAGTGGAAAGTGTGAATGGCATTTGGATCTGGAAATGGTTTGGAAATTACTGAAAACTGGAAATTAGTGAGAACTAATGAAGTTTTCCTGATTTAATTTTTCTGTCTAGATAGGCCAGTATTCTCCAAGTTGGAATCCAAGAAGAGTGCCACCAAACAAGACTCTATGGTTAGAATGGGAAATTGAATTCTACCCATGGATCCGTACCTAGCTTCTTGGTTTTATTAGAATAATGCTAGAACAACCTTGAGATATCAAAATATTAATACAATATAATTTTAATTTATGCTAACATTTTCATCCTTGTGTTGTAATGTTCTGGAAATAGTATAAATCACTAGCCAAGTTTTGATTTTTTTTTTAACTGCAATCCCAGCATTTGGGCATGGTGAGGCAGGAGGAAAGTAATTTCAAGGCCACTGTGCTCTATCTAAGAAGAACTTGTCTCAATAAACCACATAGGCTGAGGAAATGGCTTATAAGTTAAGAGTACTGGCTGCTCTCTTAGAGAACCTCACTTTCATTCCTAGCACTCCACACTCCTTCTTCACTCCAGTTTCAAGTGATCTGTATCCAATTCTATCCCTCCAGAACACTGAGTGTTTGTAGTATTCATGCAGACATATGTTCATGGAAAACACCCATTCCTGGGTGGGACTAAAAGAAAGAGACCATATATGTCTTATTTCAATAAGTACAACTTTTAAATGGACATCAAAGTTTCTGTACATTCTGTGCACTATTTCATATTTTCTACCTTCTAATCTTATTTGAATCTTAAAAATATTTTAGATTTTTAAATATAGCATTAATTTGGATCAAGTAGAAATTATAAACACCTTAACCATTTTCTTTTTTTTTTAATTTATTTTATATAACCAAGTCCATTTAAATGAAAACAAATATTTATAGACAGTATTTGCGAATTTGGGTGTCGTTCTTTCCAAACTGCTTCCTTCTGGTAAGGGGTGCTGTTATGGGGGATTCTAAGAAGATGCATAAATCCTGGCTGTAGTCTATAAGGATGCTTTGTGCAGCTGTTTTGAATGTAGGATCTCCTGGTACTCTGTTTCTGGCGGTATGGCTTGACCAAACCACATTAGTCTGTAAGAAATCCACAGCTTTTCATTTTCTGTGGAAACAAAAATAGAAATCCTTCTCCCCAGTAATTTGTCCTTGAACTTAAATTTTGGAGTCAAAGTATTTTTTTTATTTAATTAATTTTTTTACATGTCGATTGCAGTTCCCACTCTGTCCCTCCCTTCCTCCCTGCCTTACATCCAACCTCCCTTCCTTTTACCCTCTCTGCCCTCTCACTCGCACCCTAACCACCCTCCCCTCCCATCCCCCACCACAATTAAATATGTAGGGGAATGCCATCCAGTTGGGGTCATGTACATCTAACAGGTCATGTGAAGTAGGGACTAGGGCTTATCTCCTGTCTCTAGATTAAGGCAGTTATCACTCCATGGGGGATGTTTAAGCAAGGTCCTTTGGTGCAGCAGTGATACATCCTGGCTCCACTGTCTGAGGTCCCTTAGACTGCTCAGTCTTTCTGGCTGAGACCCATATTCAGGTGGTCCTGAGTCAGTCCCATGCTGGCTTCCCAGCTATAGTCTGGTGGTCTGTTAGCTCCTCCTTGTTCAGGTAAGCTGTCTCTTCCACCTGTGTTTCTGTCACCTGGTCTTGTCCTCTCCATCTGCAGTTGTGTTCTAGTTTGACTCAGTGTTTATGTATGGGTATTTGCTCCTGTTTCCAACAGGTATTCCATGAGGGCTCCATGGATAAGTTGTTGATCTCACTCTCAGTAAAGGACATTTATGGTAGCCTTTCCATGGATGCTCAAATTGTTAGTTGGTGGCAGTCTTGTAGTTCTCTAGACCTTTCTTTGTGTTCAATTTTATCTTCAAACCAATATTGGCTCCTCTCTCTCTCTCTCTCTCTCTCTCTCTCTCTCTCTCTCTCTCTCTCTCTGTTTCTCCTGTCTTCTATTCTTAACCGGGCTATATTTTCCTGGTTGCACGTGTTTTCCTTTCCTACCCCTCCTTTTCTCCTACTTCTCTCTCCCTTCACTGCCCCCGTTCCTGCCACTTCCCCTGTGCTCTGGGAGACCAAACAGCATCTTAACCATTTTCATTTCCTGTGTGTTTGATAAATGTGTAAGGTTATTTTTTTCTTTTTCTTAAATATAGGGTTTCAAAGTAGCAATGGTTCCAGTCATGGAAGTCACTCTATTGACAAGGCTAGCCTTGAAGTGACAGAGATAAACCTCCCTCTACCACCTGAGTTCTGGGATTCAATCCCTCTAGCTCAACTTCCTGGTGTATCTCTAGTTTAAAAAGTATCTGTTTTGATCTTCATGAACTATAATTTTGTTTGAGACTGTGCTAGGTGTGTTACTACCATGCTTAAAGATTTCTGTTGAGTTTGTAAAATTAGTTAGGACAGAAAAAAAGGACATCCTCAACCCATGTGGAAGACTGAGCCTGTTACCATTCTTGCTTCAACATCATTGAATGCTTTCTTCTTTGCCTGCCACTCCCTGGAAAGGAGCTGTGAATCAAGCCACTACACAGACTAATGATTGTGACTCTGTTACAGAAGGCAACTTTTCCAAACTCTGGCCCTGCTGAATGCAATGTGGCTGTCCATGGCTTGACTCCTCCACTGGTGGCCAATGTTTCAGGCCCTAGAGATCATGGATGACCTGCCATTCCACAGAATCCAAGAGGCCAGAATACACCACCACCTCATCCAGATGCTCGAAAGTATGTCCCATCAAAGGGATTTGCAGGCCCAAGGTTTCCTCCAAAGTCAGGTAGGCTTTTTAAAAGGCCCTTATATTAATAAATATGTATCTGTGTGTTCCTTCAAGTCTGGTTCCTGTTACTATGAGAAACACTGGCCAGAAGCAACTTGTCATGGCTCACAGGTAACAGTCCAGCAGCAAAGAAGTCAAGGTTTCACCTTGAACTACCTTAGGGAATTTTGAATTTTAAATGTACTGTGATAGTTCAGAAGATCATCAAATTTACAAGCACTTTTTTTTCTCCTCAAGGCAGGGTTTTTCTATAGCTTTGATCCTGTCCTGGAATTCACTCTGTAGACCAGGCTAAGCTTGAACTCACAGAGATCCACCCATCTCTGCTTTCCAATTCTTGGATTAAATGCCTGTGCCACCAATACCTAGCTAAAAACTGGTTTCAGGTCAAAATTATGCATATATCATTTTATAGAAATGTGTACTGAGGCTAATATTTACATTAATTACTTATATTTTGTCTTAAGATTACTGGCTAAAGTGTTTAAAAGTATTTCTTCTAGGTAGTTGTTCCCACATTATCATATTTAAAATCTAAGATCATATTAATTATTTGCTGAATTCATTGAAATTTCTTCTTACACTTACATTTTAAAATAAAAGTTATTGCTTTTACAGCATACTTTCCTCTTTGGAATCAGAAGTTTCTACACAATAAATCATGTTTTAAAGTAATAGAGAAGAACCAGCTTAGTTACCCCTTCCTGTTCTCTTCCCTCATATCTATTCTTAACCTTCCAAGAGTATGACATGTATTTTCTTTTGGAAGTTTTGTAGTTGTCCTTGTCATTACAGAAAATTTATTTAGGATATCATGCCAGGATCACTGATTTCAATGTTACTCTTGAAAGTTTTACTTCATTGAAATATGTCTTGAGTGTATTTACTTCATTACAATAAGTCTTGAGTGTATTCCTGAAATTGTTGGTGTTGTTCTTATGAATCCCATGTAGGTAAGAAGACCACTTTAAATATCAAGATTATTTGTAAGATCAAATATTGTGGTGTGAGTTTTGTTTACCAGTATGGGCTGTATTTTGTGGTTTACCGTCGGTGCCATACAGGATTTCAACCTCCACTGTCCTTTACTCATCTCTTGCAACAGGGTAGAATGTGTACAACCTGAGGGGCTTTCCACTTAGCCTTCTCCCAACTTCTGGGTTCTTCCCCCACCCTCTCTTTTGAGAAGTAGAAATGAACTCTCTCCATACTTGATTCTGCCTTCCAACAATCTGCCCCAGAACTTCCACAAACACAGGAGACCTGACCATTTCTCTGGCGGTCATTTCTTCTCATTTTCAGTTCAAGATCACTTTTGTTACTTATGTGATTATATTGTTGCTCAAATTGCAGCTTAATGGAAACATATTGTCAGGATAGTAGTTTGTAGAAAAGATGATTGAAATAAGAATCTTATGAGTAAATCATTTCCACTTCATTTTATTCTGCATAGTGTATTTTACTTTGATTATGTCATCCATAATTGTGGAAGTTTTATACAGGCAATCTCATAATTGATGTATCTTAAACTCAAAAAGTTGTTTCTTTATTCCAGAAATGTGTTCACCATGATTGTAGGCAAAAGTAAATGTAACTGTGTGTTTAATCAAATGAATTTTAATTGATTTAAAGCATTGTTTGTCTTTGGTATTACTGAAACCAGCCAGTTTCCCAAAAACATTTTCCACTAAATTAGTCTTTTCAACTGTGCAAAAATTAGTCCTTCAAAAGAGAATTTTGTGGGACTGGACTGATGGTGACTCATTAGTTAAGACTGGAATCTAGTGCAGATAAGAGGACATGGTCTCGGTTCCTAACATCCGCATGGCAGTTCCAATCCAAGGGAATCCAATGGCCTCTTTGCCTACAATTTCACAATGTATGTATGTGGTGCTTACCATTATATTAAGTTCACAGATATTCATGAAGTATACCAACATGAATATAGTGCACGAAGCATTCATTGTTGCAAAAGACATACACGTAGTGCACTAAACATGCATGTAGAGCACAGGCATGCATGCAATGATATGCACAATATGCTTGCCCATGTTATAAAGCATACAAGGTATGTACCAGCATGTATGTAATGCTCTATACATGTATGTATTTCATGGTTGTGAGTATATAGTCCAGAGGCATGCAAGTACACAAAATATTTGCATACGTAAATTACAGAAAGAAAACTAAAAATAACAAAACAACATAAAATAACATAAAATATTTATCTTTTTCTTTTTTTAACG